TAGGAGATCATTAATGTTTAATGTCGTCGGAATAGAAAACTGAACTTGTTTGTTAACAATACTGAGAAGCTATAGTTAGCACTTTTTATTTGGTAATTGACCGGGAAATCGCGCACGCAGTGGGTCTACAAGGCATCAGCGCAGGAGAGATTGGGTGTCCGAAGATGATCTCGAAAGGAAAGCACCATAACTTATAGCAGGACTATCGCTTGGGAAGGATGTTCGATCAATTATGATGACTGATCGTTCTTAACGAAAGCAGAAGATTTCAGCCAATTGGCCTTCGACTAAATTGGCGTCATGATGACGTTAGCGAGGTTGAAGACAATTCACGTCCTGATTGGACACTCCTACCCACCCACAGGCCGAACGCCTGTGATTGTCATGCATGAGAAAATGTGACCACTGAAAAAGAACAACAATGAAAAAATAAATGTCTTTTTACTTCCTTTTTATTTATTGAATATACAAATGTACAGTCAACTTTCAGGAAGGGGTCATAGAAAGGCTGCCTAGGGAAGTACAGAAATAGGGAGTGGAGTGGTTCGAACCCGGGACTCCCGGGCCATAATTTAGTGACCGAATCACTTGACCACCACCGCCCGAGAACAAAATGAGGGCATAAAAATGGCAAGATGCAAACAGTTCACTTTCATCCAATGGTATTTAAGTCAAGCCTTTTTTATGTATAATGCAGCAAAGATCAAACGTCTACTGCGAGCAAAAATGTAAGAAAAGTTCACCAGAAAAACGGTAGCGTTTGGGCGGGGTAGGTGAGAGAACAGCCAGTTAAGAACGTACGTCCAGAGCGAAGAACAATTCTGTGTCGTCATATTTTTGTCTTTTGGTCATTGTTGATCGTCAGGAAAACCTTGCTCATCACGCACTTTCCGAGCCATTCACGTGGGTGTGAAAGAGATCGATCCAGGGCATTCGCTTTTCACACAGAAGTGATCTCCCGCCTTCCCCCAACCCGCGCTCATCCTGACTATTCCCTTGTTTATTGTTGAACGTTCAGTTCACGCTTGCGTCATACATAGAATGGAAAGTAAATACTCTGCATCGCATAGCCTGTGTTTGTGTGTGCTCTTCTCGTACCGATCGATTTGTCGAAGAGAGCTGAGTGTTGTAAAACATTAAAACTGATGATGTTACAAAAAAATAACTGATCTCAAGGTTAGAGTATTTCCATGAAATGTTGCGGATACGAGATACAATATCACGGAACGAATTCGATGATCCTAGGGACAGAATTTAAATGACCGCTCCCTTGTAATCACACAGCGAGAATCGGCCTTTAATTGACGAATCAAGTTAAGATAAACTCGAGCCTAATCATAGATACACCAAAAGAAAACCAAAAAAGAAACATTTTGCTCACCGCCTAACTCCAAACAAGCATCTCATCCTTATTCACATTTTTGTATGAGAAAATGGATTCGACAAAGCATGCATTTTGTTTTAGCAAACAAATTGAAGCCAATGAATCACGAATTTGGTGCCCCAATCTGTACGCTTATCCTCTTTCCGCGATCTAATTGAGTGATCGATAGAGAGGAGGAGAAAACACCACGTGAGATCCGAACAAGCGAGAGCAGACAGTAGTTTCAATTTGCCTTCAACAAAAATGCTCCGGCTTTGTGGAATAAAAAAAACATACGAAAAGCACAATTGTCTACCCCAAAAAATATCCCCCATGCGGGGAAGCGCATTAGCTGGTCCTTATATACGTTTCGAAATAAACTCAATTGGAGTGTCGATTAAATCTTGGCACGCTTCGGGTTTTATTCTTCTTACTCACAGTATCAGTAGTCTCAAATCTCCAAGTGGATCGTTGAAAGTAATTCGTTTATCGGTGTGTGTGTGTGTGTGTGTGTGCGTGTGTATCTGTATGTGCATCAGGGTGACTGCACGGTTCATTGGCTTCATTGGTTGACTATAGTAAACAACGATCAGTTTCATTCAATTTTTCGAGTTTGCATATACGTCCGTCGTCGTGGTGTGTGTGTACCCGCGCGTATGAGCTCGCGTGCGTGCATGTATGCATTCATAGCTGTGGCCAGTGGTTTACCAGCGAAGCCCCAATTCGAAGACAGTGTTTAACAATGCGTCCACACCGTGACTGGTCGAACTATGAACAATCTTCATTTGAACCACCGTCACCAACACCACCGTCATGTCCATCCCCACGGTCGCTACTTTCCTATACTTTCCAGTGACTATGCTTGTTTGACTGCGACGAATGAATCAAATCGGTTCCACCACCCACAGAACTATACCCCCGAGGCAGATCTATCCAACCCGAATCACTTCCTGGTTTTTACTTTTACCCTGCACGACCGTGAATCTCCATTCGGTTAACTCCAGGCCAAAAACGATGCTCACCTAACTAGGCGTCATTCGGGCCTAGTAACTTTTCAGTTCCTCTAATCCCACGGTCTATCACGCTCACGCACACACAGACTCGCACACCAAGCGAACGGGTTTGGGGACGTGGTATCGTATTAATGACGCCCTGATCGGCTCGGTAGACCGATCAACTCTCCCCATGCTGTACAGGTTTTAGCGCCAATTCATGTAGCGTGAAACAATATAGTAGAGGACCGGTGGCGCAGCGGTCGGGTTAAACGCCGCCCGATACGAACATTCACACGCTGCACACACACGCGAACAGCGTAACCCGGTCAGACAACAAGTCCGGACGTATAAGTGTTAACTAGCGGTCTAACAGGCATGTATGCGTGTATGAATACATTAAAACATGTACCGATATGCGCTAACTAACTGTTCATGATCAACAGCTTTTGTCGTCATGTCCCATCCGTATTACCGGTTGGTCTAACTACGAGAGGATACCGGTCTAGGCACCCACGGACATCAAATAACGGACGGGATCGCGTGAAACCGGGGCATTCAAACTCACAGTAGTTGGACTAATACGGGGGGGGGGACAGGGTGAACATCAATGTGGATGATTTTGCCTCCCCCCCACACACACCCCACCCACACCCCCGGCCATGGACATGTGCAGGCTCTATGTCTGCTCACATGTGGCTGTGTTACAGTGAACTCGGAATAGGATTAGACCCTGGTTTGGTGCACTACCAACGACAGATGAATTTTTATATCAGTTTACGTTTATTCATTTGAAACATGAGTACTGGACATTGAAAGTGGGAGAAATTCGAGTTTCCTTCACATAACTTGGTGCAATTTCTTTTAGAGTGTGCTGTACGTCAGTTCGGATACAATAAACATAAAATCCCTGTCTGGGAGAATACGGTGATCAGATTGATTGCGAAATGACAAAGACGATTTCGACAAAAGAAAGTAGTCTACTTTGAAAAATGGAGACACCTGAATTACCCATGCGCCTGTAGAACTCTCATCCTTGGAGTGCATGGGCGGAAAATATGTGGTAATTGTAGTATGCACGGATCACGAAACCCGGAACCACGAAATACGAATCACGAATTAGAAACCACGGACGCCACATAAGCACTGTATCACACTGGTACTTGCATAACAGTACCCCACGGAACCGAACCGCGAACAAAAAGCCACGGGAATGGCAGTTCGTTTATTGAAAAAAATTAAGAGGATTAAATTATGTGTACAAAACAAATTCATTGGTCATCCAAGCCTCTGCCAATCACGTTGTGGTATTTCTGGTGTTGTTCAGATTCTGTTTGGGCCGCACAGTTCTTGATTGGTTGGTACATTCGACCTATGGTTTGTAGTCCATAAAATGTATGCGCTTTGCTAACGTCACCCGGGAAGCATGGTTGATCACAGTTGTCCGGAAACTGTAAAGTGTTGCCCCGTGGTGTGCGTCATCTCGTAGACTAGGATCACCACAATATGCCAGAGATGAACTTGGTCCCCGGAACAATGTGTGCAGTTGTAACGGTCCGTTTGCTGTGATGACCAAAAATGAGCATTGAACAAAAACTGTTTCAGTCCTGTTCGGACTCGTTAGTAGTACTGTGCCCGCATAAACAGTACTTGATAATTGGAGTCAGCCTATCTGACCACCACTGGCTAGGTGAAGAAAATGGAAAACGAAAACGGATGGATTATTGCGTACAAGTTGTTTTTCGAATAATAACTGTGCGATAATGAAGTGATCACCACAGCGTGTTTCTGTCAGTGACTGAACGTGTGTGATTCCCTACTTGGAGGGCTTCATTACTGATACTGTATTAGTTCTTAATATCACTAGTGAATGAGTTTAGATGTCTTTTGACTCACTGGGGGCGACATCAGGAATAAATGATATTATTTATTGATGATTGGTTCAGGAATGGCGAGTCATTGAATAGGGCTTGTTTACCGCTAGTTGACAACGGGAGCGGATAGCATATCAAGATCGTGATGCTGACACAATCATGCATGAATAATTAGGCACCCAGTTCGGTGCCTTTCACACCAAAGGTATTAATTGATCAATCATAGTGCCTCAATTCGTTCTATGATCGAATATCTCATACTGATTTATTACATTGGGTTTCCCCAAAAGTCTGTATCTTAAATGGTGATAGAAGGTGCACCGCACTGTAGTGGGACAAAGTACTGCAAAGACGTGACAGCACTTGGCCAATACTTATCTCGCTGTCTTTTTACTGACCGGACAAAGATAGTCTTCCGCGTCTATGGTAACTTCGGTCTGGATTCGTTAGTTTTGTACACAAATACCATGAACGGTTTTACATGAGTTAATCCGAACTGGAATGCTGGATGCCTCCCCCTCCCTGTAGTGTCACGTACTAAATTTTCGTCAAATGTTCCACGAAGATTATTCTTTCCAATCGATTGGAATTTTCTGCTAAATTATTTATCCCGATCTAAGTATAACAGGACTCTAGTCGCTATCCTTTCCAGTAGTTTCTTTTCTTTATTTCATCTTCTCTACACTTTGTTATATAGTCTCCCTTGCTGTGGCTCNTGTGGCTCGTAATCACTATTTCTCATCTATTGTGTACATGTACACATACACTCAGATGCAAGCTGGATCCAAGGACCCAACCGGTTTGGATAACCCCGGTTCTGAAGCAGGCATCTCGGCCGCTTTATCTGGTTCCGGTGAAGCCACCGAATCTAGCAATCAGACCAGTGCAGTATCTCAAAATGTCCCCGATGGAACAAATGAACCCGCTCCCCAGTCCAGTAGTACACAACTGTCTGCCGCAGCCTCATTCTTCACCAGGTACGTGCTGTACACCATATTTTCTCTTCGTATCAATTGACTGTGTTACATCATATTATTCACAGGTTAGGTGTTTCACACTACAGTGTGTGGTACACTGAAATACCAAGTCACGTGAGCTTACAGTGACATCACACCATCCGGCAGAAAGAAAAAAACACTGTCCATGTCAATGCGTACAATCATACAATCGGGTACTATTAGCTTTCAGAGAGCATCACAATCACGTTTTACCTCACAAGAACTCTACGTGGACCCCAGTCCGTAAGCTTCGTTTGTAAATTGAAGAGCTCGTTGGGACGATGATCAAAGCGAACCTTATTCCGAATTCACTACAACAAATGACTGTATGCATAGTCCGATGTGAGTGGAAAATTTCAGCATGGATTGCCCGATAAAGTGACTGGATGGTTGCGCGAATTCAGATAACTGTTACGGAGTGTAGCTGACCGGTTAAACAGTGAGGATCATTTAATATCATTTGAATATTGTCTATTCTGGATCTCCGTGGAATGCTGAGCTTGTCATTGCAATTGTGAAACACAACAAACTCAAATTCGGCATGACCTCTGGCGCATGTAGTCCTGCAACACAATGTTACACACCACTAATATGCGGGGTCTTGTGTTCGCTGAGCTTGGCGTTTAGATCGCAAACATTTCATCACTAGCCGAGGTGACATCGTCAGTGCGTTGGTAATGATTCCTGTACTTGTCTTTATTTATAGTATTCCTATCCTAGGTTTGACATTGAGAATTGTTCTCGCTGTTGACCTTGAAGACGGTACTAACTTTGGTAACTTGACCTTTGGTGGTTCCTACAGAGATGACCTTTGCGCACCAAGGTTACTAGATTTAGTAAGTTGACCTCTGACTATGACCTTGACCTGTCAGAGTTACTAAATTTAGTAGCAGTTGTACCAGAGCCAGAACACCTTGCAGCACAACGGAACTAAGAGAACACGAAGAGAAGTATCTCTTCAAATTATTCCAACGAAAAGGATACCCAAGAAACTTCATACGGAGAATATTGTACAGAACACAAAGAGAGCCAAGTCAACGAACACAATCCGACAAGAAGATAGTATTTCCATACATCAAGAATGTCTCGGAAATGGCAGCAAGAATGCTCAAACCACAAGGCATTATAATTGCCCACAGGCCTACAAAAACTATGAGAAGAAACATTTCAAGGCCGAAGGGACAAATCAAAAAGGACGACCGAAGAAATGTCATCTACAAAATTGAATGCAACAATTGTGACAAATGTTACATTGGACAAACTGGAAGAAACGTTGCAACAAGAATTCATGAACACAAACTTGCGATAAGAAGACACGACCCTCTTTCATTGATATCCGTGCATGAGGACCAAGAAGGATATACGTTCAATCTGGACAACTTTAACATTCTAGATCACGCGAGTACAAGGCATTCAAGAGAATTGCTGGAAACATGGCATTCATAAAAAAACTCAATCAATAGACACATCGAACTGGACGCAGTTTACAATCTGCTGAGGCGCAAGTTCTCCAACTAATCCACGAAACAGAAGTGGAGTTGACCGGTTCAATACCCACCGGCCCATGACCAGAAACCCAAATACCATGCACAAAAGAACCTTCAAATTTATTCTCAAGCACAAAAGAAATTTCAAACTATTAACCAATGGAAAAGGTTTGGTACAACTGCTACTAAATTTAGTAACTCTGACAGGTCAAGGTCATAGTCAGAGGTCAACTTACTAAATCTAGTAACCTTGGTGCGCAAAGGTCATCTCTATAGGAACCACCAAAGGTCAAGTTACCAAAGTTAGTACCGTCTTCAAGGTCAACAGCGAGAACAATTCTCAATGTCAAACCTAGGATAGGAATACTATAAATAAAGACAAGTACAGGAATCATTACCAACGCACTGACGATGTCATCTCAGCTAGTGATGAAATGTTTGCGATCTAAACGCCAAGCTCAGCGAACCCAAGACCCCACAAACCAACAACCTGAGCTACAAACCACACCCATACTCAAATCTGTTGAAAACACCACTAATATGCTGAGGTACGAAAAACCCTATCCATTGATTTGAGTTGACCATTTTTTAGACTTCACGTTCACGCACATTCCTCAGTTCTTGCAGTCAACCGTAAACTCTGAGGCACTAAACTCGAGCTCATCAACAGTGCATATCCACCATCCTGTCCGGGTTTCACACTCCGGAACCATCGCACGGATTGAGCGCGTGTGCCCACTGAGCCAGTCAGCTCATACCAGGGGAGAACTACAGCTGAGGATGACACCTAAACAGGCATGAATTGGCAATTCGGTTCAACCTTGGTATGAACTGGTTGACACGGTAGTAACACACACGCCTTCCATGCAATGGGTTCGGAGTACAAAGCCCGAATAGGACGGTGGACATGCACTACTGGTGAACTCCAATAAGAGCAAAACTCGAATGTATGGTTGACCGGACGAACTAAGTCAAGGCGAAGTTCGAAAGATATTAAGTTCCAATCGAAATTCCGAAATGCACACCGTTCATACCTTCAGAACCGATGAGCTTGAATCTATTTTATCATGAAATGTTGGACACAGGCGAAAGTTTCAAAACTCATCTGTTCAGTTCACCAAACCCTGAGGGATGTTGGACAGCTTAAAACGCACCTCCTTGAAGTATTCTATATGGAATCTGGAATCTGGACAGTGATGATTTGCACATCGATCCAGTATGATCGATTGGTGTCTTACTGCAGCCGCTTGCAGTGAAGCTTTTGATTTCCATTACAACAATATGCCATGGGTATGAGTAATGGTTCAAGTGTCGATCGTGCATGATACATTGGTGTCAACGGTCCATGTTCACTACTGGAAATGATGCTGAGAGACATCAAAATGTCACTTGGACACCTTGGGTTGATGCTTGGACAACTTGAACTGTAAAGCGTATAAACTAATTGCATACAGCTAAGGGTGGGTGGGATGGAGCGAGGAAAACAATTATTGCGATGACCCAGATAATAATTAAAATATTGATGGTGAAAAGAAGAACAATATTATAGCATTTTTTACAGGCATGTCATCTGTCTGTCGCCAGACATAATCCTGCATTGTTGTCGAACTGTACTGAGTGATACTCTGTGAAATTCTATCCACAAAATAAACTCTCATTACGCTGTGATTCAAATATGCTATTGTTTTATTACATAGGAGAATGCATTTTCCGGTGACCAGTCTCACGTTGTAAATCGTTTCATGTTTCAATCAGCTGGCGGTTTACTGCTATCTTCGAATTCGCATCCTCAGTCTTCCATTGTGGTGGTGGCGGTGGTGGCCTGGTGGTAATGTCAATAACTTATCACCCTGGGATTAGGTGTTCGAATCCCAACACCACCACCAACTTCCCCAAGCTGTGTGTTGAATGGCAGCCTTTTGGTCCGCCGCTTTCCCCTTCCTGAAAATTGTATCTTTGTGTATCCAATAAAAGGAAGTAAAATGAAAAAGAAAAAACCAAAGTACAACATTGAAACTGAACCATTTCTTGAAGAGGAAATCGTCCTTTGGCTAAGTCAGAATCAACTATGTGAATAGGATGTCCGATCGAGTATCCAAATTTTGCTGTCTAGCAAACACCGGGTACGGTCACCCAGATCGAACTGAGTAAACTGTTCATGATGAAAGAAACAGCATGTGGAACAGGTCTGGCCGGACTCAGTAAATTGCCGATTATCTCGCTCTGTAAACACATCAGTGGTGAGCAAATGATCCACACATACACCCCATCAGCTGCTCTTCTTATTCTTCCCTCTTCGCTCATCCGCCGGAACCACGCCCTCCCAATCCTGTTGTCTGCTCATCGTTCCTCAGTCCCAGTGATGTTTGGTAACATGGCAGACACACTCGCGGAGAAATAGATAGATAGATAGATAGATGGATACGGATAGATTGAGTGAGCGAGCGAGAGAGAGAGATAGACAGCAAACACAGAATGACTCTCGGTCGGCAGCCATGTAAATCAAAACGTATCACAGTCGGTCGCATCGTATCGGATTGACCGAACATCCATACCCACATACGTATACTCATGCATTATTCTTTTCGGTTATCGGTTATCGTTAGCCATCGTCGGCCAATCATCTAGGTATGGAGCGGGGCGAATCGAGTGTGTGTTGCTTGGGGTGCGTCAATCATCTAATCTGATTGATCTCGCCTCAGATCACGTCCAGTCGATTCCCTCGTGAACTGTTGCTCTGTTTTTACCTCGTCCTTTGCGGTACAGTCAGCTCCTCCTCCTCCGTCTCCTCCTGCTCCACCTCCTGCTCGTTGTTCCTCGTCTCGCTTGCTACTGTTTCTTTTCCGTTTGCCTCAGTTACATCTGACAGTGCTGTTGTTGCTGTTGCTACTTCTGTTGTGGGTGTTGCTCGTATTCCTGCTCGTGTTCTTATTCAGTGCCTTTCTCACGGGAGCGAAACAAACTTACTCGCTTCTCACTCCTTCACTCTCTCTCTCTCTATCTTGCCGTCTTTCTTGGCCATCAATGGATCAATAGGTGTGGATCATGGGTTGAGAAATGAGGCAGTGCGAACACATAGAGAAAAGTATCCTGGAGGAATTTGTGGCCAAATTTCGCTGCTGACACATTCTTTAAGTGTTTTGTTTTCGTAGTATTTTTTCTCCCTCTCGCTTCGAGTTGAATGCGCGCTATACGTGTGCGTGCGTGCATACGCAAACGCGAGTAAGAGGTGCTTCGTTTAATGAAGATAAAGTGGGGCTGAGGGCTCAAAATCTCCTTAGCCCACCGTTTGCTAACGACCCAAACATCCACCCGCACCAACACCTTTGCCACAAATGCCTGTCCCGGGATGGCAAGGGCTGTGAACCAACAAAAACAAAACAGCACAACAACACAACACCAAGCAAACAAGAGATGATAATAATAATAATAATAATAATAATAGCGGAAACAAAAGGTTGGCCGCCCCTCAATTCGACTGGAACATTAACCACAGTATACAGTCAACACCAAGACAATAAAAAAAAGAAAA